AAGAAAACAGATGCCAACCAAGAATACTCTATCCCGCAAAGCTCTCCTTCCTCTTTGAAGAAAGAATATGGACTTTCCCAGACAAACAGAAACTCCGGAATTTCATTGCAACTAAACCCCCACTCCAAAAAATACTACAAGGAGTCCTAAAGCCAGAACCTCAGAGGGACGAATAACAATGAAAGAAGGCCAAAAAAAAAAAAAAAAAGTTATTAAAAGAATAAATAAATAAAATCAAAGGAAAGACAAACACAATGGCAAATACAGATGTTAACATATCAATATTAACTCTAAATGTAAATGGACTAAACTCTTCAATAAAAAGACACAGAGTTGCAGCCTGGATTAAGAAACAAAACCCAACCTTTTGCTGTCTCCAGGAAACACATTTAGCTACAAAAGATAAAAATAGGCTCAAAGTTAAAGGATGGAAAACAATCCTACAAGCAAATGGACCAAAAAAGAAAGCAGGAACAGCTATACTTATATCAGATAAAAAACAGATTTCAAACTCAAAAAGATAAAAAGAGACCCCAATGGTCACACATTATGATCAAGGGGACAATACTTCAAGAAGAAATAACACTCATTAACATATACTCACCAAACGAAGGAGCACCAAAATATATCAGACAACTGTTGTCCTCTCTGAAAACAGACATCAGAGAAAACACATACGTAGTGGGAGACTTCAACACACCACTATCAACAATGGATAGATCAACAAGACAAAAAATAAGTAAAGAAACCAAAGCTCTAAATAAGGACCTAGAGCAATTGGGCTTAACAGACATCTATAGAACACTAAACCCCAAAAAAACGGAGTACACTTTTTTCTCAAGCGCACATGGATCATTCTCCAGGATCGATCACATACTGGGGCACAAGACAAACATCAACAGATACACCAAGATTGAAATCATATCAACCATCTTTTCTGACCATGAAGGCATCAAACTAGAAATAAACCATAAAAAGAAGGCAAGGAACTTTCCTACCTCATGGAGATTAAAAACCACACTACTGGAAGACCACTGGACTAATGAGGAGATGAAAGAAGAAATTAAAAAATTTTTTGAATCAGGGGGGCGGAGCAACATGGCGGCGAGGAGACGCTGCGAGTAAGATCTCCCATTAAAAAAAGTGAATAGGGAGGAAAAGCGGCAGGTCCCAGTGAGAACTGGGACACGGAAGATAAACGGGTGGCGCCAGCGAACTGCCCGAAGAAGAAAGTGGCCATAAAAGAGGACCAGAAGGGAGGGAAGCGCAGAACCCTGCTCCCCTCCCCCGCCCACAGAGGCGGCACTCTCCGACCAGCAGAGAGGAGGAAACAACAAACCAAAACGGCCAACGAGAAAAACGGACGCAGCAAGCGGGACTGTGCGTGGAAAGGAACTATTGCAGCCACCACACCCCGTGAACGGAGCTGAGGCGAACCCTGCAGGATCCGCCACGGCGGTGAGCGAACGGCTCCGGGCGCCATTAGAGAAGAACAAAGACCCCGGGAGACGCGCACACAGCCCGGGCTGCCGGTAAGCTGGTGCGGGAAAGCGGCGCAATCTGCGCGCTTGAAAAGCAAGTGCAGACCTGGATCGCGGCTGCCCAGGTCTCCGTGCCTGCGACCTAGGCTTGCGGGGAGACGACCTAGGCTTGCGGGGAGACGCGCGGAGGTCCTCACTGAGGTGAAGGTCCCTCCCTGAGTGAGCAGGAACCAGGCGCCCAGGCACGGGAGCGGGTGCAAAAGGCGCCATTCCCGCGCCACTGAACTGGGCTACAGCCCGCGTCCTGGAACTGAGGGCTTTGAACTGAGACCCAGGGCACGAAAATTCGGGGCGTGGTTTCTCCACGACGGTGGGGCACAAGGCAGACACAGCACCCCAAAGCTGTTGAGGTGTACCCTACCATTCCCGCTCTGTTCTCTGCCCCACGGGGTGGGGGAGGCGAAAAAACAGCCCCCAAGGACAATAGGAGAGATCTCTGGCGCCACCTAGCGACCAGGAAAAAAAAAAGTCACTAACACCCTATAAAACAGGACATTTCTTAAGACTGCTTGAAAAGGGCAGAAGGTTTCTGGAGGACCCAGTGGCCAGCGGGAAGTTATTCCACGCCAGGCCCCTTCCGACCAGCAGTCTGAGCCCACAGAGGGAGCAGGCACCCACGTCCGGGGCAGACCGGGTGCGCAGAAGAGTGTGCCTGAAACCGGAGGCGCAGGGACTGCATCCCGCTTCGCCATTTGAGAACAGGGACATTTCTTCAGTAAAAACTGCCTAAAACCAGCAGAAAGCTCCCCCAGAAGACAGAGATGGCTCCTGGAAGAGCCAGAGGGGAGCGGGAGAAGTTTCACCCAAGATGTCAGTCAGTCCGAGCAACACAGTGTCCCAACGCATACGACAAATTAGAAAACAGACAGTAGGGAGTAGAAGAACCACACGCAACCTAAAAACTCCTCAGGAAAGAAGCACACCACAAAAAGAAAACCACTCCCCCAGATTGCAACGACAGCAACTTGGAAGAACTTCTGAGCCTTCCAGAAAGAGAATTTAAAATTGCCATGATTAAAAAAGTGATAGATCAGAAGAAGGAAATTGAGTCCCTAAAGAGGGAAGAAGAAATGCAGGAGATCAAAGAATTAATGGAGGAACTAAAGAACTCTGGGAAAAGCAATGAAAGCAGAATAGATGAAATGGAAGAACGAATAAGTAATCTTGAAGACACAGAAATAAAAAGAACCAAAACAGAAAAGGAAAGAGAAGTACGAAGGAAAAGAATGAAGAAAGACTTCGGAACTATCTGACTCCATGAGGAAAGGAAATATAAGAGTTATAGGAATTCAGAAGGAGAGGAGAGAGATGTAGGAACAGAGAAAATATTCATGGATATAATTGAAGAGAACTTCCCAAATGAGAAGAAGGAGCTGAAAATTGATATACAAGAAGCAAGAAGAACACCAAATTCCACGACGAAAGGAAAAACACAGCAAGACACATAATAGTAAAGCTCCAAGAATCCAGACAAGGAAAAAATAATGAAGCTGACAAGAGGGAAGAAAACAGATAACATTCAAAGGAAAACCAATCAGGCTGACATCAGACTTCTCTGAAGAAACACTACGGGCAAGGAGAGAGTGGAGGGACATAGTCAACAGACTCAAGAAAACAGATGCCAACCAAGAATACTCTATCCCGCAAAGCTCTCTTTCCTCCATGAAGAAAGAATATGGACCTTCCCAGACAAAGAGAAACTGCCGGAATTTCATTGCGACTAAACCCCCACTCCAAAAAATACTACAAGGAATCC